CCCACTCCTCTCAGACAAACTACACAATAATGTCTAAGAAAGAAGGTTTGCCAAGATTGTTTGTGACCCAAATTTCTGCCCTGAGTAAAGCAGCCTGCCGAGTTGGAAGCAAGTGCTCAAGTCCTTCTGGGAGAGGACAGAAACAGCTGGTTGGCTCAGCCTCTCTCAGTGGCCAGACTCCAGGCTCCCAGCTCCAGGCTCCAGGGCTGTGTGGAAGGGCTTTCACCTATCACAGTCATTTGCATTCTGGTGATTGGGAACAGATCTTTTGTCTCTCCAGGCCTAAAAACCTGTATCTTCAAGATAAGCACCTGACATGCACAGATTAAAAACAAATGAAACTGGATATTGGTGGCTCAGATCTCAGTTCAAAGCCAGCCTGGACAGGAAAGTCTGTGAGACTCTTATCTCCAATTAAAGATCCAAAAGCTGAAAGTGGAGCTGTGGCTTAAGTGGTAGAGCACTAACCTAACTTACCAGCTTAAGTGGTAGAGCACTAACAAGTGCATAAAAGCTCAGGGACAGAGTCCATGCTTTGCATTCAAGACCCAGGACCAGCACACACACACACACACACACACACACACACACACACACACACAAATGAAGCTGGTGTGATAGGTCACACCTGTAATCCCAAGACTCAGCAGGCTGAGACAGGTGGATCATCATTATTGTTATTATTATTTTTTGGTTGGTCATGGGGCTTGAGCCCTAGGCTTGGGCACTGTCCCTCAGCTCTTCACCTCAAGGCTGACGCTCTACCACTTGGGCCACAGCACCACTTCCAGTTTTCTGGTGGTTAATTGGAGATAAAAGTCTTATGGGGAATTTCTAACCCTGGCTGGTTTTGAACAGTGATCCTCAGATCTCAGCCTCCTGAGTAGCTAGGATTACAGGCATGAGCCACTGGTACACAGCTGGTGCCCCGCTGGATCATTATTTTGAGGCCAACCTCAGATACATAGGAGGACATGTCTCAAAAAAAATTTTCAAGGGCTGGGAATATAGTTCATTGAGGCATTTCTGGATTCAATCACCAACTACACACATGCACATGCACACACACACACACGAGGTACAGGTACATACATCCTAACAGATGACCACATAAACATTCAGCTCACTTGGTTTTCCTGAGTTACACCCCAGTGTATGGGACAATCTGCTTGGCATCTCTTCTTGTTCGAGGTCTCTTGTGCATGCCAAACCTAATGTGTATCTTGAGCTTACCTTCTCTGTAAATCTGCCCTTCATCGGTCCACCCATTCCCACAACCCCCTCTCACGTGTACAAAGCACCTCCTAAGAGGCAGGTATTATACCAGGTACCAGGGTGCCGAGGAAACAAAACAAAAGTCCTTCTTCTTCTGTTGCTAACAGTCTAGCAAGGGAACAGACAATAAACAGAAATTCAATACATACACGTAGAAATAACTCCATGGAAGAAAAATAGTGCAGAGTAAGGGAGTGCAGAATGACCAAGGATTCATCTTACATGGGTGATGCAAGAAAGGCAAGAAAGGGGTGATATTTGAACAGAGCCTTGAATGAAGGAAGGGAAAAAGGTCTTGGGGAAGGGAATCCTTGACAGAAGGGACAGCACACACAGAGTCTCCCAGGCAAGAGTGCTTGGCAAGTTCAGGAACAGCCAGTAAGGGTGCCAGAGTGGCTGGGGTGGAGCCAGGAGTGGGGACAGAGATAAAGACTAAGAGAGCCAAAGGCAGATATGTAGGATCTGATTAGAATATTAGTTTTGGTGCTGTGTGCTGTGTGAGTTCTAAGTTGGGGACGGGGAAGAATGATCAGACTTGTATTTGCTAAAGGAATTCTGACTCCATATGGAAAGTGCAGGGGGTCGGGGCATGGAAGCAAAACTCCAAAAGCTAGTTCTCTTTCTCTTCACCTACAGTTCACAGTTCTAGTCTGGGCCACCTTCATCTCTTACCTTGATCCATTGTACATTTTCCTAGCTGACCTCTTTGTGGCTTTTGTTGTTGTTGTTTTTGTCAGTGTTGGGGCTTGAACTCTAGGCTTGAGTACTATCCTTGGGCTCTTCAGCTTAAGGCTAGTGCTCTACCTCTTGAGCCACAGTGCCACTTCCGGTTTGCTGGTGGTTAATTGGAGATAAGAGTCTCACAGACTTTCCTGCCCAGGCTGGGTTTGAACTGAGAGCCTCAGATCTCAGCCTCCTGAATAGTTAGGATTATAGGTGTGAGCCACTGGCACCAGGCTCTAGCTGACCTCTTTGTATCTACTCCTCTGCCCCCACAGAGGCCTGTGTGATTTTTCTTTTCCTTTTTCTTTTCTACCAGTACTGGGCCTTGCCCTGTAACTTGGCTTGCTTGCTCATAACTTGTGCTCCACCACTTGAGCCACTCCTCCAACCTGACTGGTTGTTGTGGAGATGGAGTCTCTTAGACTTTTCTTTCCTAGCTGGCTTCCAACCATAATTCTCAGATTTCAGCCTCCTGAGAAGCTAGGATTTACTGGCATGAGCCAGAAGTACCTGGCAAAGAACACAGGTTATATTTTGTCCTTCCTCTACCCAAAATTCTTTCCTAACTTCCAAAATCACTAAGTAATTTGTTTTAAGTGCTGGAACACATCCAGGATGCTAGACAAGTGCTCTATTACTAGACTATACTGCTCAGATTAGTCACAATATTATTCAAAAGTTCTTTTGGACTAGGTGCTAGAGGCTCATGCCTCTAATCCTAGCTACTTAGGAGTCTGAGATCTGAGGATTGTGGTTCAAAGCCAGCAGAGGCAGAAAAGTTCATGAGACTCTTTGTCTCCAATTAACCACCAAGTTGGAAGTAGAACTGTGGCTCAAGTAGTAGTAGAGCACTAGCCTTGAGCACAAAAGCTCAGGGACAGTGCCTAGGCACTGAGTTCCAAGTCCTAAGACCAGCACATCCATCCCTCCTACCCCCAAGCCTGGCACTGGGGTTTGAAATCTAGATCTCTGGGTTTGCTACACTTGTTTTGCCTAGTTAACATAGCTTACCACTTGAGCTACATGTCTACTCTAGATACATTTTTTATGATTATTTTAAGATGGAGTTTTAAGGACTTTTCCCCCCTGGACTGGGTTGGAATGGAGCTCCTCCAGATTTCAGCCTTCTGAGTAGCAAGGATGACCACCAGGATTAAAAACACTTTGCCCCTTACTCTTCTTACATCTACCCTCCTCTTTTTATTGTTTTTTGTTTTGTTTGTTTGTTTTTGTCGGTCATGGGACCTGAATTCTGGGCCTGGGCGCTGTCCCTGAGCTCTTCAGCTCAAGGCTAGAGCTCTACCACTTGAGCTACAGTACCACTTCTGGCTTTTTCTGCTTATGTGGTGCTGAGGAATCGAACCCAGGGCCTCATGCATGCAAGGCAAGCACTCTACCACTGAGCCACCTTCCCAGCCCTATTGTTTGTTTCTTTGATTGTTTGCTTGTTGTTATTAGAGTCTGGGTTTTACCTGGTCTCCAGGTAGCTCAAACTGCCCTGAAAGGGAAAGGGAGGGAAGAGGAGAGCAATGGAGAGCAGTTCTAGGCCTCGGAGCTCTGGGCCTCATGTTCTTGCCATCTGCCTCTGAACTGCCAGAATACTGATCATCACAGAAATCACTAGCAAGAGGGCCACCCAGAGGGAAAGCTGGACAGCCCTGCCAGCATTAGGCTTCCCATGTGCCTACTACCCTGTCCATTACAGTGCCTGACTTTGTTTTCCACCACAGATTCACTGCATGTGCCTCCTTATTGCCTTCTTCCATCCTTCCTTTGTTTAGCTTTGTTGACGGGGTTTTGTAATTTAGCCCCAAATGGCCTGAACCACCATCCCACCCCACCCCACTGGTCTTGAAGCATGACTTTCCTAACTGCATCTCCCAGTAGGTAGAACTATAGGCATGAGCTACACCAGGCTCCTTTCTTCTTTTAAAAGGACACTCCACCTCCTGCCTTCTCCCACAAAGTGTTACTAGAACATTCCTCAGCAAGACAGCCTCTGCCCACACTTGTTGGAGCTCAGAGTCTTGGCTTAGCCAAAGGACTGGGATTGAACAAGGGATTGTTGTGCTCAGAACAACTCATGTGTTGATGGTCACCTGGATGTGAGGTACCTGAGGGATGGCAGAGTGACTTCAGGGTTCACCCATGAGAAGACTGAGCCCAGAGAGGGAAAGAGCTGGCCTCAAGTCACTCAGCCATTAAAGAGACAGGCTAGGCTTGAGATGTCTTTGTTGGCTTGGCTGTTCCATTTCTTCTGAGTAACAAAAGATGCTAAAGTTACTAGCCAAATGTGAAGCCAGTTCTCCCTTGATCTCTGGTTCTTTGCCTGTTTAATAAGAATACTTATACTTCTACCAACACACCAGCTTGCTCATGAAGCTTGAGTGACTTACTACAGGGAAATGAAATGATGGCAGAGGATTCAGAGTAAAGGACATATGACAGATGTGGTGGCTTATACCTATAATCCCAGTTCTCAGGAGGCTGAGGTAGGGTGATTATCATAAGCTGGAGATCAGCCTGAGATACACAGTGATGCTCTTGTCTCAATAAATGGACTGGGAGTGTAGCTCACTGATGCTTACAAGTTCAAAGACCCGGGTTCAACCCCCACATCCACCGAAAATTAAAAACAAAAACAGAGAAGAAGCCTGGACATCAGTGGCTCACGCCTGTAATCCTAGCTACTCAGGAGGCTGAGATCTGAGGATCACGATTCAAAGACAGCTGAGGCAGGAAAGTCAGTAAGAGTCTTATATCCAATTAGCTATCAGAAAACCAGAAGTGGCACTGTGACTCAAGTGGTAGAGTGCTTGCCTTGAGCTGAAGAGCTCAAGACAAGTGCCCAGGCTGAGTTCAAGCCCCACAGCTGACAGAAAAAAAAAAAAAAAAACAGAAGGGTTGATGAGGAATCTGAAAGTCAGGCAGCGGTAGATGAGCTCTGAAGATCTGAGTTCACCTTGTGGTCCTCTCCAGGTAGGGCCCAGGCCTGGGTTGCCATGGATACCGTGTCCCTGGAGCATCAGATTCAGAGCGTGCAACGCCACATCAGCTTCCTGAAAAAGGAGCAGATGGCCCTGCTGCGAGACCTGCACCTGGAAATCCTGAGGCTGCAGAAACGCTGCTCAGGTGAGGCCACACACCTGTGTCACTGTCACCATCCACAAAATCGCTTTCTGTGAGTCTCACACCAATCCTTCACCTTTTTCTCTAGATGAGGAAACAGACTCAAGGTAGTAACATAAGAGTTTGGGGACTAGTTGGGTAGCTCTGTTATACTAGCTACTCAGGAAATCTCAGGCTGAGACTCTTATCTCCAGTAAACTACTAAAAAAAAAGCCCAAAGCGGACTGTGGCTGAAGTGTTAAAGCACTAGCCTTGAGCAAAAGAAGCTCAGGGACAGTGCCCCAGGCCTCTGAATTCAAGCTCCAGGACTGGGGAAAAAGAAAAGTTAGAAGCTGAGGCTGGTACCTCACACCTGTAATCCAACTACTCAGGAGACTGAGATCTGAGGATCATGATTCAAAGCCAGATGGGGCAGGAAAGTCCCTGTAAGACTCTTATCTCCAATTAACTACCAGAAAACCGGAAATGGCACTGTGGCTCAAGTGGTAGATCTCTAGCCTTTGAGATGAAGAGCTGAGGCCAGAGTTCAAGCCCCACAACCGACAAAAAAAAAAAAAAGAAAAGTTCCCCATTCTTGGGGATTCTTGTCCCAGTGTCCACAGAGCATCTCGCAGTTCTAAAGAAGTGCAGGGTAACATACATCCCAGTAAGTAATAATAGCATGGCAGAGCCTGGCACTGGTGGCTCACACCTGGAATCCTAGCTACTCAGTAAGTAGGTTGAGATCTAAGGATTGTGATTCAAAGCCATCCAGGGCAGGAAAGTCCATGAGACTCTTATCTCCCATTAGCCACCAAAAAGCCAGAAATAGAGGTGTGACTTAAGTGATTGAGCACTAGCCTCAAGCAAAAACAGCTAAGGAATAAGTTCAATTGCCAGTACCAGCACACACACACACACACACACACATACACACACACAGAAATAGCATAATAGAAGCTTCCTTGAGTGGTTGCACACCTGTAATCCCAATACTCAGGAGGCTGAAGAAGATCATCAGTTCCAGGCCAGCCTTCTTAATAATAATAATAATACAGAAAAGAAAGCAGGCCCCAGGAGTTGAGGCACATGTGATGAAGGAGGCAGAGGTTCCCAAGACAGAGCACCTAGCTTCCTGTGTAGCTGTGCTGAGATAAAATGGAAGGTGAGTGAGAAAGTCATTCAGAATGAAGGGAATCCCATAGCTAAGGCCAGAAGGTGGGAGGCAAGCACTCAGGAAAAGTTTTGCTTCACTGGAGAAGGCTCTGCGTCAAGAAGCATGCTGAGAAATGCAGCACAAGATAGCTAAGGACTTTGACCCGCGCTCTTACCAGAAATCATAGAGAGGACTGGAAGTATGGCTTAGTGGTAGAGTGCTTGCCCAGCATGCATGAAGCCCTGGATTCGATTCTTCCAATTCCACATAAACAGAAAATGCCAGTAGTGGGGCTGGGAAGGTGGCTCAGTGGTAGAGTGCTTGCCTTGCATGCATGAGGCCCTGGGTTCGATTCCTCAGCACCACATAAGCAGAAAAAGCTGGAAGTGGTGCTGTGGCTCAAGTGGTAGAGCACTAGCCTTACGCTGAAGAGCTGAGGGACAGTGTCCAGGCCCAGAGTTCAAGCACCATGACTGGCAAAAGAAAAAAGAAAATGCCAGTAATGGGGCTGGGAAGTTGGCTCAATGGTAGAGCGCTTGCCTTGCATGTATGAGGCCCTGGGTTCGATTCCTCAGCACCACATAAGCAGAAAAAAGAAAAAAAGCCAGAAGTGGAGCTGTGACTCAAGTGGTAGAGTGCTAGCCTTGAGCTGAAGAGCTGAGGGACAGCGCCCAGAGTTCAGGCCCCACAACTGGACCCCTCCCCCTAAAAAATAAAAGAAGCTCAGGGACATTGTCCAGGCCTAGAATTCAAGCCCCAGGATTTGCAAAACAAACAAACAGAAGTCATAGGAAAAGTGACCTATGAGAAAGGAAGGTTGGGAGACCAGAGGCAGAGCTGATAAAATGTGCAGGGAGAGAGATCAAGAGAAACAAGAGTGCCAGTGGGAAGTGAGTTGAAGGAAGAGGCCTGGCAACTGATTGGATTTGTAAGTAGGGCAAAGGATGAATGGAAATCTAGACTTGGCCTCCACTCTTGGACCTGTGGCCTGAGGTGCTTGGGCCTCCCAGAGGCTTGGCTATGGCCCAAGTGTTCATGTGGCTGAGTCTCCAAGTGCAGGCTTTAGAGCCAGTGGTTCAGCTGAAAGAACCCAATTTATTGTATGAGTCAGTAAACTGCAGCCTGAAGAGAGAGAGAGGGAGAGAGAGGGTCACACAGTATGCCAGTGGCAGAGTCAGAATTAGAACTCAGAGCTGCAGACTCCAAATCCTGAATGGCTTTTCATCTTTCAGGACATTCTCTATCTCCAAAATACCTAGACTTCTACCTCTTCTCCCTTGTTCACAGGAAGCTCTCCCTCCCAAGAGGGAAACTGAGGCCTAAAAGGACTTGAGTGATCCACTTGTACAATAAATTGACTTCTAGAACTATACGGGCTGTCCTGACTCCAGGGCTTCCTTCCACACCACGCACCACACATTGCAGGCCAGGGTCCCAGCAGTCTTTCCTCAAAGACCAGATGGCAGCAGAGGCCAGCCCAGGGGACCGGGATGGCCTAGAAGGACACCCCATCTTGATGCTACCTTTTTATTGTACTAAAAGCATAGAAGAAGAGTCTAGAGGATCCTAAAACTTTACAACAATTGCTCCAATTTCTTCTCATTTTGCCCTCATTCTGAAGATCTGGACACAGGCCAGATCCAAAATGTAACAGGCAAGAACAGAAGGACCTCCACCACCCACTGCCCTTTTCAGACCGAGGATGACAGGCATGGGCCTGCAGTGTCTTGGTTATTGATTAAGGGGATAAAAATAACTCTGGGCTGCACTGGCACTGCCACCCTGGGGGCTGACGTGACTGAGTAAGACCCTCCCTTGGAGGGAGATGCTGAGGAGAAGGGAGAGGAACAACAACTACAAAAAAAAAAAAAAAAAAGACAAACACTGGAAAATAGGAGCAGGTCTCCAAGGTGAGGAAGTGGATGGATGGATGGCTGAGATCTCCAAACTCAGGGCTTGAGAGGTGGTGGGTATGTCACGGGCTGGTGTAGCAGCCTGGACAAAGACAAGCCCTGCCCTTACGCACAAGGCTAAGTACTCTTGGTTGTTGTTGTTAATCCTGGCAACATTCCCTCACAAGGGAGGGGCTCTTTTGTTTCCATCTTCCAGAAGAGAAAACTGAGGCTCATAGAGGTGCTGTTATGAGTCCTAGGTCACAAGTGTATCTGATCTCAGCTTTCACGTATAAACCCATGGAGATTCTGATCAGAAGGTGGTCAGGGACATTTGCCACAGTGGGGAAGCAGAGCGCAGCTGGGATTCTGTCTCCTCCTGTGGTTGAGGGCTGAAGAGAAACCAACCCTGGGGGAGTTAGTGGCAGAGCCCAGACCTCTTGGGCTAAGGTTTCTGAACTGAGTCCAGGGTCCCTTGGGCTATTATTGCAAGGCCTTGGAGGAGGCACAGCTTGGTCTCAGAAAGCCCCAAGGGTGGAGGCACCCCAGTCCTCAAGGGACCCAAGAAAGGGGTTCAGGCTCAGGTCACAGCAGAAGCTCAGGCACCCTGGGCCCTCTGTCTCCTGGTAACAAGTAGCTTCCCCAGAGAAAGGACCTCTGGCAAAAGCCCCTGGTGTCTAGAAAGCCCTGTGAAGGCAAGAAGAACAGGCCAGGGGGCTGCAGGCTTCACAGGCCTGCCTCTGTAGGTGCTGCTGGACAGTGATCCCAGAGAATTGCTGCCTTCCAGGCCCCCAGTTTCCACACTCTTCATTTGGACTCTAGGCCGAGATCCTACAGACAACACTCAGGTGCCCCAAAGTAGGCTGCTGTGGTTTCTGGCTTCCTTCTGCTCTTTTCCCAGTCTCCTTTACCTTGCTGGCAAGATTCAAATCCATGGCCTCTTGCATGCCTAAGTATGTGTCCTACTACTGAGTTATATAGTATACCTCTACTGTACAATACAGCTCTGGTGGAGTTGGAGGGACCAGTGGAGGGTCTGGACTGGGAAATGAGACATTAAAGGGTCCAAAGAAGGAGGACTGAAAGGATGGGCAAGGAGAACAGTGGTAGATGGGCACCAGCATCCAGGAGGAACCTGCTCCTACACCAGTGCCCTTTGGTGCCTGCTCTACCCTCTCTGTCCAGCCCCCTCAACAGCACACCAAAGACAGTGCATCTTCTGACACTAGGTGGCGCTGTCCTCCTTAAGCCCCTCTCCTTCACAACGTGAGGGTGGGGACCAGTGTTGACAGCCCTCCTGGCCCTGAAAATAATGAAATGCAGATATCCTTGATGGTAAATAGCCACTGCCCACTTCCAGGTTCCTCAGGCAGCTCTGTACTCTAGCACCCATCAGCTAAACACTAATGCTGAAAGCCCTGTGCAGCAAGGGTCCACTAGAGCTGTGCTGTTTGGTTGGCACATCACCTTTAGGAAGGAATAGATATTCCTGAAGCGCTAAACAAGCCAGCCTCGTCTATCCCATAGGGGTTAGCTAATCCCCAAGCCCAGGCACAAAGCTTGCACTGAAAAGATCTCTGAAGCTGGGTGCTAGTGGCTATGCCTGTAATCCGAGCTACTCAGGAGGCTGAGATTTGAGGATCCTAGTTCAAAGCCAGCCAGAATGTTTATGAGACTTTGATCTCCAATTAACAACCCGAAAACCACAGCGGCTCAGTGATAGAATGTTAGCGTTGAGTGAAAAAGCTCAGGGACAGCTCCCAGGCCTTGAGTTTAAGCCCCATGACTGACAAACAAAACAAAAAGATCTCTGAGCTTGACATTAAGCCTGCCAAATGTGCTCTGGGCAAGTCTCTTCCCCTTGCCAGGCCATAAGTACAGTGGGTGCCACTTACTAATTTGCATGTGTGTCACTTACTAATCTGTGTGTGTGTGTGTGTGTGTGTGTGTGTGTGTGTGTGCGCATATGCACCAGTATTGAACTTTTTTGCTCAAGGCTAGCACTCTAATCCTTGAGCCACCACTCCATTTCCAGTTTGTTGGTAGTTAATTGGAGATAAATTTCATGAACTCTCCTGGTGGGGCTGGCTTCACACATTGATCCTCAGATCTCAGCCTCCTGAGTAGCCAGGGATCTGTGATTCCTGATTCCTCCCTTCTGTATGGGCATGCTCTCGCTCTCTCTCTCTGCCCTCCCCTCTCTCTCCCCCCCAACTCTGCCTACACACACACACACACTCAACTAAGCACTTTTCTTTTCTTTCTCTCCAGAACTGACCCATGATCTGGAGATGAGAGAGGCCCAATCTCACCAGCAAGGTAAGAGAAGGATCTCTCCTGGGAAGTGCCATGGGGCTCAGTCAACCCTTAGGATCTACACTTTTGCCCTCTCCTAGCCTAGACTTGGGGACAGCCACTCCTCATCTTAATAAGTAGAGAGCAGGGCACCAGCCCCAACTTGCCAATTCACCTGAGTGGCCGCATGCAGTGAACCTACATTGCCACACAGAGTAGCCTAGGTCCACATCTGTTTAAATAGACAGAGGAGAGGAAAGCAGAAAGACAGCATTGTAGACTCAACTTCTACCTGGTCTGTTTCATCTGAGACATGCCTGCCCAGCCCTTCCCATCCTTGCTCAAGTGATCTCACCTCTGCCTCTACACCCTACAGGAGGCAGCGTTTGACAGCACAGGGTCCTTGGCTCCACGCAACTTAGTCTAGGTGAAGAGAAGAAAGACCCACAACCTTAGCAAATCCTTCATTTTACAAAAGCATGATTCAGTGCCATTATAGCAATTCCATTGAAACATTTGTCTACATAGAATGACTTCACTCAATATGGAGGTAGGGGTTGTAAGATGGGACTCAATGGGTAGAGATTTTGCAAGATAAAAACGTTCTAAAGATCTTTGGCAGGGTATCCCTCTAAGTAGTCTGAGCAACATAGGGAGACCCCATCTTTATTATTGTTGTTGTTGTTGTACAAAGGGGTTACGATTCCATAAGTCAGGTTAGGAGTACAATGCTCTGTGGTCAGTGGGGAGAACCCCTCATTAAAAAAAAAAGAAAAGATGGGCCTGGGAAGGTGGCTCAGTGGTAGAGCACTTGCCTTGCATGCCTGAGGCCCTGGGTTCGATTCCTCAGCACCACATAAGCAAAAGGAAAAAAGCCGGAAGTGGCGCTGTGGCTCAAGTGGTAGAGTGCTAGCCTTGAGCTGAAGAGCTGAGGTACAGCACCCAGGCCCAGAGTTCAGGCCCCATGACTGGACCCAAAAAAAATAAAGAAAGAAAAGATGGAACTGGAGTTGTGACTCAGGAAAAGAGCATCAGAAGTTAGAGGTATGACACATTTGGTAAAGTGCTAGCCAGTGAGTGAATATGTCAGATACTAAGTTTGAGTTCTGATCTCAGATTGAAAAAGAAAAGAAAAGAAAGAAAAGTAAATGATATCAGCTTTGAATGGAAAAAGCTGAGCAAGAAAGCAAGGCTCTGAGTTCAAGTCCCAGTATCAGCACAGAAACTCTACTACTACTAACAGTCATAACAAGAAAAGAAAAGATGTCTTAGAGATTAAACTATCTCCAAGATGGCCAGGTGCCCATGGCTCACTCCTGTAATCCTAGCTACTCAGGAGGCTGAGATCTGAAGATAGTGGTTCAAAGCCAAACGTGGCAGGAAAGGCTGTGAGACTCTTATCTCCAATAAACCACTCAGAAAACCAGAAGTGGCGCTGTGGCTCCAGTGTTAGAGCTCTAGCCTTGAGCTGAAGAGCTGAGGGACAGTGCCCAAGCCCAGAGTTCAAGCCCCACAACTGAAAAAAAAAGAAATGGCTGAGATGAAGTTGGGTGCCAGTGACTCATGCCTGTGATCCTAACTACACAGAAAGCTGAGACCAGAGGATCATGGTTCAAAGTTAGCCTGGCAGGAAATTCTATAAGACTCCAAAAACAACCAGTCAGGCTGAGACTCTTATCTCCAATTACCATGAAGAAAAAGCTGAGAGCCAGGCACTAGTGGTTCATGCCTGTAATCCTAGCTACTCAGGAGGCTGAGATCTGAGGATCACTGTTCAAAGCCAGCCTTGGCAGGAAGGTTTGTGAGACTCCTATCTCTAGTTAACCACCAGAAAATCGGAAGTGGCACTGTGGCTCAAGTGGTAGAGTGCTAGCCTTGAGCTGAAGAGCTGAGGGACAGCACCCAAGCCCAGAGTTCAAGCCCCATGACCAAAAAAAAAAAAAAAAAGCTCGAAGTGCAGCTATGACTCAAGTGGTAGAGTGTTAGCCTTAAGCACAAAAGATCAGGGATAGAGCCCAGGCCCCAAGTACTGGCACAAAGAGAAAGAGAGAAATGGTCAAGATAGACTAGCAGTTTGGCTCAGAGGTAGAGTGCCTGCCTAGCAAACATAAAATTCTGAGCTTAAACCTCAGTGTCAGGCTGGGAATGTGGCTTAATGGTAGAATGCTTGCCTTGCATGCATGAAGCCCTGGGTTTGATTCCTCAGTACCACATACACAGAAAAAGCTGGAAGTGGAGATGTGGATCAAGTGGTAGAATGCTAGCCTTGACCAAAAGAAGTTCAAGGACAATGCCCAGGCCCAGAGTTTTAAGCCCTATGACTGGCAAAACAAAGAAAACAACAACAAAAAAAGTGTCACCACCCAGGCAGGAAAATCTTGAGACTCTTATCTCCAATTAACCACCAAAAAGCTGGCAGTAGAGCTGTGACTCAAGTGGTAGAATTGGTAGAGAGTTAACCTTGAGCAAAAGAGCTCAGGGGACAGTGTACATGCCCAGAGTTTAATCCCCAAGACTGGCACAGTATAGATAGATAGATATGTATATTTATATATACACATATATAAATACATATGTATATATATATATACATATAGATATATATAGTATGTGTGTTGATGATAGTAAACTTTGTTTTTTTAATCACAAATCATTATTTTTATTTCTATGTACTTATTTTTTTGGAGGGGTCAGTCGTGGGGCTGAAGTCTGGGCCTGAGTGCTGTCCCTCAGCTCTTCAGCTCAAGGCTAGCACTCTACCACTTGAACCACAGTGTCACTTCCGGCTTTTTTCTGCTTATGTGGTGCTGAGGAATCAAACCCAGGGCCTCATGCATGGGAGGCAAGCACTCTACCACTGAGACAACTTCCCAGCCCTTTATTTTTATTTTTGTTGGCCATAGGGCTTGAACTCTGGGCCTGGGTCCTGTCTCTGAGATCTTCAGCTCAAGGTGAGCACTCTACCACTTGAGCCACAGTGCTACTTCCGGTTTTCTGGTAGTTAATGGAACATAAGAGTCTCATGGACTTTCCTGCCTGGGCTGACTTTGAATCAATATCTTCAGATCTCAGGCTCCTGAGTAGCTAGGATTACAGGCATGAGCCACCAGTGCGCAGCTTAACAAATTCATTTTTAATGGGGAAGATAGTCTTATTGAGATCTTAATCACCAAGTTATAGAATCTCCAAGGAAGACTCTGTGTTATCCATTGTCTGTGAAGTACATTGTCTGTGAAAGCACAGCTTAGCTAAAAATAAATCCTAAAGCTAAAATAGTCTTTCTTAGCCAGGATAGTTCTTAAGAACAGACTTCCTGTCATATTGATGTGTTGCTTATAGTTCAAGAGCTACATGATGAAGTTGGTATCTGGGAAGGCTGGAGGTTTTAAGCTACATGTATATAAGCACCAGCTAGGGATCATCTAAACACTTATAATCTAGAACCAATTCTTCCTGCCTCCTTAATTGGCAACCTTAGGTAACCTCTAGGTGCTCAAAGGAAGGGGCATATATCCCAGACAGAAGATGAGGACAGTTGTATGACATCCTTCATCTGAAGGGGTTTTAGGGCCACCAGGACTCAAACCACTAGCTATCACAGTGTCTTGGGGATTTTTCTTCTTCTCTCAGAGGGTTTAAGAACTTTCTTCATCCTCCTGTCACTGGATTTTTATGATTGTGACTTTTAGCTCCCTAGGAGCTCCATAATCCTCAGGAGTGCCACTTTCAGTAGGGAAGGTGGGGCTTATGATCCAAGAGGACAGGCTCCTCATCTCTGGTTGTGTTCATCTGGATGGACTGGTTAAGATCTAAGCATATCACTTCCCAGGCCAACCCCAGAGGTACCATTCAGATAGTCTTTGGTAGGACCCAGGAAACAGCATTTATTTATTTAGTTAGTTAGTTGGTTGGTTGGTTGGTTGGTTGGTTAGGCATGGGTGCTGAAGCTTGAACTCAGGGCCTGGGTGTTGTCCCTGAGCTCTTTTGCTCAAGGCTAGCTGTCTACCACTTTGAGTCACATCCCACTTATGATTTTTTTTTTTTTGGTCAGTTGTGGGGCTTGAACTATGAGCCTAGGCTCTGTCCCTGGAACTCTTCAGCTCAAGGCCAGCGCTCTACCACTTGAGCCACAGCACCACTTTATGTTTCCTGGTGGTTAATTGGAGATAAGAGTCTTACAGACTTTCCTGCCCAGGCAATTGAACCTTGATCCTCAGATCTCAGCCCTCTGAGTAGCAAGGATTACAGGCTTGAGCCACTGGAGCTACTTCCAATTTTTAAGTGGTTAACTGGAGATAAGAGTCTCACAGGGACTTTTTTGTCAGGGCTGGCTTTGAATGGCAACCTTCAGATCTCAGCCTCCCGAGTAGCTCGGATTACATGTGTGAGCCACCAGTGCCTGGCACACTGTAGGCTTTTTACTGGTTAATTGGAGATAAAAGTCTTTAGGACTTTTCTGCCTTGGCTGCCTTCAAACCATGATCCTCATTCTCACTCCCCTGAGTAGCTAGGATTACAAGCGAGAGCCACCAACTGCCCAGCTAGAAAACAGTATTTTTCTTTTCAGTTTTATTTATGTGGTACCGAGGAATCGAACCCAGGCACTAAGCCACATTCTCAACTGTAGGAAGCTCTATTTTTAAAACCTCTCTGCATAGTTCCAATGTACACCCAAGATTGAAACCTGTCACAAGGGCAAAGGCAAAGAGTAGCCCAGTAAACAGACAAAATCAGGACACGGATTTCTCCCTTCCTGTGTACATCCTCAGCTTTGTCAGTTCCCTGCTCAATGCCGTATCTTACTACCACAGGGCTTTTGCACAAGCTGCTCCTCTTGTCTGTAACCCCCTCTCCCAGAGAAGGACCTATTTATCCCCCAGGTGCTAGCCCCAAACCTCTCCTGCTGGGAAGCTTTCTCTGATCTGGTCACATCCTCCTGTGACAATGAGTATTGATTTGCTTCTTCCTGGCTCATGTCACAGTGCCAAGCTGGCATCTACTTGCGATTATTTACTGTACCTCACCTAGTGCGCTGTACACGTCACAGGGGCCGTTTTATTGTGTCCCCTGTGTATACCCAGTGCCTCGTGGACACAGTGCACCCAAACGAGGTTCAACCATGGACTCCAGAACAAATACAAACGATCAGGAAAGGTTTGACATTGAGAGACCCATGGGGCGCGTGATCGGGGCGGTGGTGGTGGTGGGAGGGTGACACGGGTTCTAGCCGCGGATGGGGAGCGAGGGGAAGCCCCCATCACCTCTCCACCATTGTCCCTCCCCGCAGAGGAGGCGTCCCGGGAGCTGGAGAGCCAGTGCCGCGCGTTGGAGGCGCAGCTGGAGGCGCGCGCGGCCGCCAACGCGGAGCTGCGGCGGGAGGTGGCGCAGCGCGAGGCGCTGGTGTCGGCGCTGCGCTGCAGCCTGCGCGCCGAGGAGCGCCGCTTCCTGGAGGAGCTGCGGCGGCGCAGCCACCGCGCCACCGTGCTGGGCACCGAGCTGCAGAAACACACAGAGGCGGCCGCCTACCTCTCCTGCCAGCTGCACGCCGCGCGCCAGAGACTGCAGGCCCCGCGCCCGGGCCCCGGGGCCACCGCCGAGCCGCGGCCCCGCCGGCGCGTCCCGCGAGCCCGACGCCCACCCGACGCCGCCGCCGCCGCCAAGGTCCCCGGCCGGGACTGGGCCACCGGGGACCGCGCCTTCGGCGGCGCCGGGGACGACGCCGATCCCATGCCCGACCCCGCGCTCTTCCTCTACCCCCGGAGACCTCCGCGGCCCGGCGCCCCCGGCCCACGCCAGCCCTCGCCTCTAGAGCCCCCTGACCAAGGCAGCCCGCAATCGGGGGCCTGCCGGAGCCCGACGAGTGCACCCCACGTGTCCGGGGGGCCCTGAGTAGGAGAGGGGCTGGCAGGGGGAGGGGTCAGTGGGGATGCAGGCCCCCGGATCACCGCACCCCTGCAGGCAGGTCCTTAGGGGCTTGGGGACCGCTGCCCGCCCAGGTGGACCTGGTGGCGGCCCCAGCTCCGGTATCCTAGAGCTACCCCCCCAACTTTTGTATTCCCCCCACCCCACCCTGCCCCATGTTTCTGAAGCTTTGAGTTCTCCCCTCTCTCCAGGGAGCTGCGGTGTGGGGGCGCTCAGCAGGTGTGTGTGTGTGTGTGTGTGTGTGTGTGTGTGTGTGTGTGTGTGTGTGTGTGTGTGTGTGTGTGTGTGTGTGTGTGTGTGTGTGTGTGTGTGTGTGTGTGTGAAGACTGGCAGTTATTCTAACCTGTCCCCACCTTGCTGAGGAGCGGGGAAGGGAGGGCTGGGGGTGTCAGGTCCTGTCCTGTCTCCAGGAAAGATGACAATCCTTTGGGGGAGTGGGGACTGCTGGGTTGTCGGACTAGAAGGATCACAGAGTAGTATTGACACCTCTAGGCCTTCCTGCACCCCTTGGCTGCCTCCCCCAGCCAGGACGAACCCTCCTCCTCCCAGGAGAGGTCCTGCTAGTGCTGCTGTGAATTGAAAGCCACCGTCCCTACCCCAGTTACAGGTCCTTGCAGGTGAGCACCGAACACTTTCCAAAAACCTTAGAAGGCTAGGCCACCCACCCAGAGCCTCTGGACTTGGGATGTGGGGTGTGGGGGGTGTGGGGAGAAGGAAGCAGCATACATAGACCCTCAGGGTTAGGAGTGCATTTGATGGCAGGGCCTGGTGTAGAGCCGTTCGTTCCCAGCTCAGTTCTTAGTAGTCTGCAGAGGACCAGACTGTGCTCAGGGAGGGAAGGGGTGGTGGGAGGCAAACTGATCCTTTCCCCTTCCACAGGCCAGCCTAGAGTTTCCTAATGTATTCGGAGTTGGTAAACCTTGCCCAGCATCTTAAACATCTGGCTACACTTAGAGATGGGAAGAAGGACCTAGTTTCTTGGGAGTAGTCTCTGTGGATAGGTGTTTGGGTTTGCAAGGAGGAAAGTGGGAGCTAATTAAGCTCTATCCTGGCCCTGCCCTGCTCCACAATGCCCCCCACCCAAGACCCTAAGCAGAATGCCCTCATCTAACTCCCTTTCTGCCCAGCCTCCCCTCACGACCAAAGGCAAGGAAGTGTAATTCTGGTCCAGCCATGGGTCCTCATCCCAAGGCTCGCCTAGAAACTCAGTCTCTCCACACACACCCCACTCCCAGAATCCCCATGTTGTCCCTTCTGGGTTGGTCCTGCACTGAGTCCTAAGTGCCTGCGAGCTCTCCCAGGAGCTGCCAAGGGGAGACCACCTTGCCCATAGCCTGTCCCAGGCAGGTCTGGACCCTGGCTGAGACTATATATTCTGTGTCACCCAGGAATCTGGGAAGTGAGCAGGGTCCATTTCTCCAGGTAACAAACTCCTCTCCTGGCATGCTCCCTGTTCCCCTGCCCCCACCCCCTAAGAGGAAGAAAGAAATCCCAGATCCTGTTCCCTCTGTTGGAGGGGGCAAGAATTGGACAAGAAGCCAGTGAGCACACTTCTACCAGTGCAGACAGGTTGCTCTTCTCAGCTGACCCCCACCCCTGCAGGTCTGCCAAGGCCACAGACCAATAACTGTTCAGCTCCTGGGAATCAGATGGTGGAGGTCTTTGTTGTGCCTGCCTCTCACCTCCCCCATCAGTCCTGAGGCTCTGCCTGTAATACCTGCCAGCCCACAGGTGGGCATGGTTCATGCTACTTTCAATGAGAACGTGTATGGCAGCCTCAACCCTTGTCCAGAGGTGTCTAGAGGAGCCCACACACACCTTCATCTCCCACAACCATGATTTTGGAGTGAACAGGGTGACTTCATTATGTTGGTTCTTCTATAGAGAAGGTGAAGTGTTTGTTTGTTTTAATCCATTTCCCTACCAAAAGCCATAGCTCTGCCCGCCTGGACTCCCTTCAAGCTCTATAGCAATACTATTACCCTCTTTTCCTTCCCTCTTGGATAACCAGAGTGTCCAATTCTGGGGGACCCACCACACCCAAGTCCCAGAGATCTTCCTGTAATCTCCCTGCCTTTCCCCAGCTGAACCCCTCCCCCCAGCTCCTCCCAAATCCTGTCCCTTTTCCAGCAACCCCAGCTAGTGATGCGTAATTGTTTATGGGGCGCTTGGAGATTGCCTAGTAAAAGGTTCTGAGTGCTAGGGTGGGTGGCTGGCAGCTGAGGGGCTGGAGGTGGCTGGGAAAGAAAGTAGGCAGTGAGGCCGGGCGCCGGTGGCTCATGCCTGTAATCCTAGCTACTCAGGAGGCAGAGATCTGAGGATCTCGGTTCAAAGCCAGCCCAGGCAGGAAAGTCTGTGAGACTCTTATCTCCAATAACCCACTAGCAAAGCGGAAGTGGCGCTGTGGCTCAAGCGGTAGAGCTCTCACCTTGAGCTGAAGAGCTGAGGGACAGCGCCCAGGCCCAGAGTTCAAGACCCAAGTAGGCAGTGAGTTAGGGGTTGTGGGAGGCTGAAGCACATACAGTGTTCCAATTTTGACAGAAATTCATTTTCCCTCACTTTATCCTGGAAATTAGGGGAGAGACTGTCCACAGCTTTCCCTTCCTGGGTTTGGCTCAATCATCCCACCAGGCTAGAAGAAACCCTCCCAGCCTAGCCATGAAAACTTCAGGGTAACTGAAATGAGACAGGACTATTACTTCTCTCTCTTCTCTGCTGCCAGCATGCCCGCTGGGGATGGTGGGTGGGGAAGTATTGATAAGGACATTCAGGGACCCTGGTAGGGCTCCCACCACATCCACATGTGGACAAGACCCAGAAGGGAGAGCTGTAGGTGTGGAGCCCATTCATTCTAGAAGCCAGCCGGCCCCAAACATGTGGGTTTTCCCAGGTGAAGCTCTATCTCCTATATTCCTTCCATGATAACCTGCACTTGTTGGGGAGGAGGGGTTCAGTTCAGGGCCAAAGGGGGCAGCCCTTTCCTCACACAAGTAGCAGGATAGTGGCCTCTTTGATGGAGTGGGGGAGAAAGCGGGAGGGGACGGAGTAGCATCTCCTTCCTCTGGGATCCTGGGGCTCCCCTAGTGCCACGAATGGGGGCCTTGCAGGGCACGAGGGATCCTGCTCTGAATTCTCTGTTGACTGCGCTTTTTAATCCAATGCTTTTCAGAGTATACTCACTCACCCACAGAAATAGAGCTCTGTGCTTTAGGGGTGACTGTCATATGCCTTATTCTTAATAAAATGTTTGCAAAACATTTTGCAGCCACTGTGCCATGTTCCACCTTTGTTCTATGGTGGTGGGGGGAGAGGATATGTGGGAGACAGCAGCTTGGGAGTCAGCCAGTGCCAGTTGGAATGAGACTGGAGAGGGGGCATGCCTCAGCAGATATTCCCCAGATAGAGCAGAAGTGCTTCCTGAAGTGTTCTGGCTGGTACCTAAGCCATCCAGTCAAATGAAATGAAGAAGCTCTTAAAGCAGAGCCTCTGACAGGCTGGGGAGGGATAGACTGGAAGAACCCCATGTCTGGGATAGTCCACTGTTGGGTCCTGAACAGAATTTTGAAGCCCTGGGCATCTTTGGCTATCCTACTTTCCTGCTGTGATCCAACTACAACTAGCCCAGCGTCCTGGAGATGCACCTGTTCTTCCTCTCCCACCTCTCCCAGTCCTAGGGCTTGAACTCAGGGCCTCAAGGGGTTGGTCGTGGGGCTTGAACTCTTGGCCTGGGTGCTGTCCCTCAGCTCTTCAGCTCAAGGCAAGCGCTCTACCACTTGAGCCATAAACCACTTCTGACTCTTTCTGTTTATATGGTGCTGAGGTATCAAACCTGGGGCCTCATGCATGCAAGGCAAGCTCTCTACCACTGAGCCACCTTCCCAGCATCTTCTTGAGCCTATTTATTGGAGATAAAAGTCTCACGGACTTTCCTGCCCAAGCTGGCTTCGAACCATGACCCTTAGATCTCAGCATCCTGAGTAGCTAGGGTTACAGGCATGAGACACCAGCACCTGGCTGATGAGTGCTTTCTTAACTTCCACCAACTTGAACTTGACATTAGGGCTGTATTAGGAGCTCTGCACACACAACTCTCACACAGATTCAAACCAGGACGTTTTCACAATACTTGTCCATGTTGTAGATGGCTTTTGGAAAAAAGGGGACTAGCTCTGCAGCTCTAAGATACAAGATAGATACTTGTTTTTGCATGCAAGTATTTTTATAATTTGACCTATTTCTTCTTTTTGAGGAACTTTCTCAGTCTTTTTTTTTTTTTAAGTTGTGGGCCTGGGCACTGTCCCTGAGGTCTTTTGTTCAAGGCTAGTGCTCTACCACTTTGAGCCACAGCTCCACTTCTGGTTTTTTGAAAAGTTCATTGGAGATGAGTATCACAGGGAGCTGAGTGCCAGTGGCCCACGCCTGTAATCCTAGCTACTCAGGAGGCTGAGATCTGAGGATCTGAGTTCAAAGCCAGCCCAGGCAGTAAAGTCCATGAGACTCTTATCTCCAATTAATCACCAGAAAACCAGAAGTGGCACTGTGGCTCAAGTGGTAGAGCACTAGCCTTAAGCTGAATAGCTGAGGGACAGTGCCCAGGCCAGATCTCAGCCTCCTGAGTAGCTAGGATTACAGGCATGAGCAACTGGCACCCAGTATAATCAGCTGTGTGTGTGTGTGTATGTGTGTGTGTGTTGGTCGTGGGGCCTGAACTATGGGCCTGGGTGCAGGCTAGCACTCTACCACTTGAGCCATTAGCACCAGTTCCAGCTTTTTCTGCTTATGTAGTGCACCTCAGCCGCAGGGCCTCATGAATGCAAGGGAAGCACTCTACCACTGAGCCACCTTCCCAGCCCTAACCATCTTTTTACTAGCTATTTTGGGGGTTTTTTGTTTTTGTTTTTGGGGTCCGGTCGTGGGGCCTGAACTCTGGGCGTGGGCGCTGTCCCTCAGCTCTTCAGCTCAAGGCT